GTTTAGATTTTAAATTCACTAAATATAATTTTTTCTGATTTTCTCTATCTTAAAACCAGTAGAACTTCTCACCACCATGAGCCCGTCATCTCTATACAGCCCGATGTCCTTAATATCAATTTCGCGGTAAGTTGTACAGTATTAAAAGACCAACAACGTCAGAAGAATCTGCAGAGTCTAATGATCCCATAGTGATGTCAAACATGTCGTTATTGTTTTATATCTATATATATATATGTGTGTGTGTGTGTGTGTGTGTGTGTGTGTGTGTGCATAAGTGAACAATATGGTCAATATCCAGCGGCGAATGCTTAATGCTTAAACGCAATCTTTAATTTTTAATATTTACATGTTTTCTCCATGATATTGAGCACTTTAACCCATAAATATAGCATATTTTAAAAGTATATTTTTATCATATATATATATATATATATATATATATATATAGAGAGAGAGAGAGAGAGAGAGAGAGGACATACACAGACAGATAGATAAACAGGCAGAAAGGAAGTTGGGTACGTGAGAGATGCATGAACTATATATATATATATATAGAGAGAGAGAGAGAGAGATTTCATATATATATATATATATATATATATAGAGAGAGAGAGAGAGATTTTATGAATTTAAGCGCAGTGCTACATTGGCGGCTAGGTCTCATAACTTTACAGTTGAAATGGTAGATGTCACCGTAAGTGTTATGCTAACAGTTTCTTTTATTGCACTTCTCGCTCTTTTTGCTTATTGCTTTACAGTCAACTTTGAACTTCAAAAATTTAAATGCAATGTCAATCGTTATCTTTTTTTTTCTTTATTATTCTTTTATTGTTCTCTCTGCTTAATAGTGTTTTTTTGTTGTTGTTTTTTTCACATATTCAGTAACATTTTGTGCTTTAGTAGCTTTATTGCCTTGCTTGGGGTAAAAGGATTATAAAAAAAAACAAGAATTATCATAACAGGGACAAAATAACATCCAAACAACGAACGCCTGACGATAGCTAGTGGGTACGTGGCCGAAATGTTGTGTCTATATTAACAACAGGTCAAATAAAATTACATTACTACGCTGGCTGCGTTCTGTTCATTTTTGTAGAGTTGTGGATTTTTTAGTTGTTATGTGTCATCAATCTTAAATGAATCACCAATTTACGCCCACCAATTCTTTTCACTTCTCAGCCGTTCTCACGAGACTGATTACATTGAATCATTTGCTAGGTTTAGTATTAGGGAATTTCGTTTACTGTGTCGTGCTAGATAATTTTTCTCGCCAGAATCTATCTTACACATTTATAAGCCTACCGTTCGTCCATGCATTGAATATTACTGCAACATCTGATCTGGTGCTTCTGCTATGTATTTAGAGATTCTTGACAAAATTCAAAGAAGTTTCTTGATAGAATCCAAATAAGCATCACCTTTGTTATCGCTCCTGAGCTGGTATCTCGTCTTCAATCACATTCACACCGTACTAACATGTCCTTTCTATAAATATTTTCATGGTAAATCTTCTAATCAGCTTTCCTGTATAATACCTAGGCTTTCCGAATTTAAGCGCAGAACTGGATTGGTAATTAGGTCTCGTCATTTTACTGATAAATTGCCAGATTTAACCGTAAGTTCTACTCTAATAGTGTCTTCTCTTGCACTTCTCGTCTGTGGACCTCTCTTACGGCTTCTTGCTTTCTTGATATCTTTGATCGTCAAAGATTCTAATGCAACTTCAACCGTCATTTTCTGTCTCGGTAAAACCTTATCTTTTATATATTATTTCCTCAATAACGTTTTCTTAATTTATTTCACTCCCAATAGTCATGTCTTGAAATATTGATATTGTTGTTATTATTCTTCCCTAATTGTTTGTTTAAACCAGTGGCAACCTGTGTCCAACACAGAAGAGTGATGAACAGAGAGAATTCTCAATATTCAACTACATTCCTCGATATTAGGACTTCCTAGCCCTCCGATAACAACTGGCATGACTGTCAACTTCATTCTTTGCCAGGACAAAGAAATCCAATATCTGCCATCTTTTTGTTTATCTCTACTATATCCGGTTCCCTGTTCAACGTCATGGCATGATACGTGTAATTATATACCAAATATCACCAAATCCCATTAAAGCTTACTATGTACTTAATGGCCAGAAATATATATATATATATATATATATATATATATAGTGTATTTTCTTACAAAAAATGATTCAACACAAGTAGTTTTAAATAGATTGTCATTTAATACAAGAACCTGTGTCGACGAAACAAAGAATTAATTGTAAACTTGAGACATTCGTGCATGACGATTATTTTAAAAAAAACTTTAAATATATCCAATGAGTTACAGACTCATTTCTTTTTACTAAATGTTCACCCAATAGCCACTCAACGTAGACAATTACTGACTGATGTTGTTTTATGGAGTAGTCGGGGAGTGTAAACCTAGACATGGAGAGGTTAAGATTGCTTTGAACGGGTAACCGCCCACTCGGGAGTCTTTTCCAAAAAGTAAGTGTTCACGAGAAGTTGTCTGATAATAACTTCCTCCTTACTAACGGAATACCCAGTGAATGAGGATGAACCGAACTTGTGACTATCTAAATTTAAATATTGATTACGTTAGTTCCTTAAGAACGTAACAACATTTATTTTGAAGAGTCAATTTTTATTTTTAATCATTTCACCACAAGCAATGCAAGAATAGCACTAGTAGGCTGGGGTGGTTGATCTAGTGATTAAAGGACGTTTGAAACATTTTCGTTTTAGTGAATTGTTTTCGCTTTGAATTAGAGTAGCATTTTTATGCCAAAATTGTGTTCAGTCTCGTTACGGTGAGAAACTAATGCGTTTAATGTGATGTTTTGTAATATATCCCTTTTCTGTTCATATAATCTTTTCTTTAAAATACTTGAGGTTTTCCAGATGTATTCCTTGTGGCAATTATTAAGTATTTCATTGTTTTAAATGTAATGTTTAAAGTAGAATTCCAAGCGTGTCTCGAAAAACTTTGTAATCCGTATGGGTAGACCCAAGGAGGATGAAATCCTGAGAGCTCAATGTAAATTCTGAGCTAATAAATCAAAGAAAAACAGACCACTTTAAGGCTCCATTGTAATAGTTTATTTCACCAGAGACCTTTTAAAGGACGCTGGATCATCAGACATCACTTCCAAAAGGTGAAACGAAAAATGAAATGAAAATTTACACTTTTGACGGGTAGTATTAAGGTTATGTAATTTAACAGACGGGGTAGCGAAGAGTGGTGTGAGAGACATGGTCGAGTTTAGAGAGCGTTTATTTTAATATTTCTTTCTATCAATACTTAGTATTGAGGAAGGAGTGACCAGACATTGACCTATTTAATCAGTTAACTTAACGGAAATGATATGTTGAAAGGGAAAGGGAGAAGAGAAAAAAAAAAAAAAAAAAAGGGGAAGTAAAGAGAAAGAAGATCTATTTAGGGTTTATGGAGGAAGAAGTGGGGTGGTATAGTTTTGGCAATTTAGGTAAAAAAAAAACAGATTTTAACGTTTGATAGTAATTTAAATGTTTAAAAAATCCACAAAGAAATTAATTTGATGCTTGCTAGCAATTTAAATATTTAACTCTTTTACAAATAATTTAGGGATTTAATATGAGTTAAATACTATATTTAAAAACATATTAATAAAAACATATTAAAAAGATATTTAAAATATAAAAGTTTACTGATAGTAATTATTTCATATTGTAAATGACTGTTACGGTAACATCTTTATCAGTTTGAGTCTAATTCATGAATGTAATTTGTAACTATTTTTAGATGGGTAATCTTTCTTAAAGTTGAGGTTTCAAACTAAGATGGAGTAATATTTGAAGGTAATATTAAAAAAAATTGTTTTTCATATATATACCACATATACACTTATGTAAATCTCACATATACATACAGTGTGTGTGTGTGTGTGTGTGTGTGTGTGTGTGTGTGTGTGTCTAATATCGCAAATATAATGCTGGTGTTCTTAAAACAGTGTTCGATGTAATATAACAAAGCTACTAAGTATATCTTAATGAATACACATATACCTCATCTCAATCTTTAGTTGCTGATTACCTGGAGATTGCGTCGTGTGTGAAAATACTCAGAGTCATGCTAGTGATGAGGCATAATATATATATATATATATATATATATATATATATATATATATATATATATATATATTGCGGCTAAGTTTGTTTGTTTTTTTTTTAATTTAGGCATGTTGTATATCAATATAATTATTTATGAATTTGGTTTAATCAAAGCTTGGATTTCATTTTTAGCTCTTGTTTTTTGTTGCAAAATAAGTTTTTTTTTTCATGTTACTTTCCTTGTTGTCAGCCGAGTCATGTAATTTAATAATTGTTTATTTGGACAGCAATCACTTTTTCATACATGTTTCCCTAAAAGGTGCTGCGGTAAAGTTTGTGTGTGTGTGTGTGTGTGTGTGTGTGTGTGTGTGTGTGTGTGTGTGTGTGTGTGTGTGTGTGTGTGTGTTTGTTTTTTTTGTTTGTTTTTTTTTCATTTTTGGCATGTTGCTATATATCTAATATAATTATTTATGAATTTGCTGTCCAAATACACTGGTACATGATGTTTGTGTTCTTAATGAATCTCAGAAGGAAAAATATGTATATTTATTTTTAATCAATACATTATAGATCTGTTAATCTACATTTTATTAACACCTGCACACAATGTGCAATATTATACACACACACACATATGTGTGTGTGTCTTGCAACAAAGAAATATCTTATCAGTTCAATTAATTTTTATTGCATTTCTGCTTGATGATTTCAACAGATTTTTTAAAATCGAACTCTTATTAAAACATTAAAGATTTTAAGATATGTTTATTAAAAATCTGTATCTCGTTATCAAAAGAATTAAATAAAACACATACATTAGAAAATAATCTTTAATTTAGGCAAATTTATTCATTACTAATAGTATCTTTATCGTTGAAGCTTACAGCGATATCTTGTTAAAAAGCCGCTTCTCGTATGATCATCGAAGTTAAGCAACGTCGTACTTGGCCAGTACCTATATGGGAGACCGCGTGGGAATGTCTGGTGCTGTCTTTGGATGTGGTGAAATGGGTAATGGCTCGGAATTGAAAATCGGAGAATCGCGTTTTACCTTATCACTAGCTCTAAAACTTGTATCAGTAAATCATTATACCAAAAGGAAATAAAAAATTCTTGTAATTTTAAAAATATTTTCTGACTTTGAATAACCTGCAAAAATTTGATAAGCCGTATAGAGCTCCTTTTTTCATTACATTTAATATAAAAGGTAAATAAGAAAAAAATTCAAGCTTTATAATTATTTACTGGATATAAATCGAGATCCCATTGGATTAAAACATATCTTTAATGTTCATTGTGAGTAAAAAATATTTAAGAATTTAAATCGTAATTTTAATGCTAAATGTCAGTTATGCATTTTGGAAGGAATCGTGGGAGTCAGAGAAATTTGCGATCAAATATTACAGAGAAATGCCAGAAGACTGAAGTCATGCGTAAAGGGATTAAAGATGTGTGTACACCGGGGTCGGGCGAGTGAGAGTGGTCTCATGTGTATGCAACATAAAAAGTATGTGTAAATTTACACATACGTGATGTATAGATATAATAGCTAAATGCAACCACCACTTTTACTCCAACAGTTTTTTTCTCGCACTCCCTTCCGTTTATTTGCTTCCCTGATAACTACAATCTTCAAAAATTTAAATGCAACGCCAATCGCCATCTTCTATTTTATTGAATCCTGTTAATCTTTTGGCCTTTTCTCAATCCTTTCTATACTCAGTATTTTCTTTCATTTTCACCCTCTGTGTACTAGTAGCATTCCCACCTTGCTTGGGATGAAGCATCTATATAATCTATCGCATGAAAACTTGGAGAGTCTAAGACCCCTACTTCAGACCTTCAAACTAAGATTCAGTGGATGCATATCGTACGCAACACCGACGTCATGCTGCGTCCAGTAGACCAAACTTACGTTACATGCTCTGGAAGTTAATTCCTGAATTTATCGACAAGATCAAATCAGCCGAAATCCTTTTACATCCTCTTTACTGGTACCCGATTTTGACTGCATTCTATCTATATCGGGATGGAGGACGCCATTCCAGTCATCTGCTATAACTACCCATCTCGATTGTCTTCAAAACGGCGAAAGAGGTCGGACCCCTCCCTGTATAATGCTCAACTCCCTTCGGTCGCTATTTCCACTAAGCTTGTTAAGTAACATCGACCTTACTGGTCATTTGGCTTTTCTTTCCCTTCTGGGTTCGGGCCGGTGTATCGTTGTCAAAATTTATTCATGTGTAGTGGTGGACCCAAATATATATTTTGCACGGCAGATAAGAAATGATCAATTCTCAACTGCGGTCATGGTAAGTTTTGTCTTTGCATCTGGGACAACATCGGCAATCAGGACTGGAATAAGAACTCCTTCAATAAAAACGAAGAACATTGTTGATAATTCTAACAATAGGTTTATTGAAGATTAAAACAAGAGAATACAATGTCTCCATTATTCGCCGAAGGACAAAGGGTGACCGAATGAATGATGACCGAAGAAATGCAACAGTAGCTGCTGAAGCAATAACTTCTCCCCTGCATGTGTCTGTGTGTTCGCTTCGGCCACGGAAATACAGATGTTCTTGTCAAGCGACAACGGTCCACGAGGTAGTTCGGTGCAAATCTGACCCACATCCCCCCTCTCTCTCTTCCTCCCCTCTCTCTGCCCCTCTCTCTCTCTCTCCCTCTCTCTCTCCCCCTCTCTCACACACACACACACTATATCTCTCTCTCCCTCTGGGTCCCATAGATACTCTCCTAAAATTTGATATTGAAGTATCTATTTTTCCCACTTCCGATTGCTCTATCTGTTAAAATAAATCCAGTCACTCTTTTTCTGTAAGAATATAAGTGTTTGGAGCGAATAGTATTAATATAAAGAAACCCCGAGTTTGGAATTTCACAGGGATTTCTTGGATCTGCTGTGATTTCTTCCTAAGCAATGAAAATCATCTGTTCTCCGTTTCATCAACCATAGTTGTTGTCAGATGCTATAGTCACTGTACTGTATCCTTTTTACGCGTGAACATAATTCTTACTTTGTAAACTTATTGCTTTATTACAATTGCTTTGCCTAGTTTTGGCTTGCATATATATTGTTTGCTTGCTATTACTTTGTTCTGTTGTATTTTTCTTTTCTTATTGTTTATTGAGAACTTTGCCAACTCCGTTTGTTGTTTATCAATTAAACTTAGCCATGGCGAATTTAGCAATATCGGTAAACGTTGAGTGTGTTTCTATTTGACATTTATAGGTAAACAAAGTTCATATTTATAATTTAATCTGTATTGTTTCTTTGTAGGTTTTATTCTTCAGTCTATTTGTTAAACATTGTTGTGGTTTATACTTTTGTCTGCAAATATTCACTTGAAAGGTGTTCTTTTTTATGTCGATGTATTCAAAACCACATCTACAAGACAAAATAATTTATGAGCTGAAATGATCAAATTCCTTGCAAAGTGTTGTTAGAAAATTTTTAATTGTTAAGTTCGAAAGGAATTTCATTTTCTCTTTTTACTCTGCTCGATTGTTTACATCTACAGCATCCGGTAGGACATGCTTTACTAAAACAATCAAGTAAATTCCTAAGACGAATAATGTATATTAAAATAGACGCGTCCTTGAAAATGACCACATATATTATGTTTACAAAGAGAAAAAATATGTCATGTGACAATGGTTGCAGGGAAGGTCAGACGGGACAAGAACTCAATGAGAAATTAACTAATTCTTATGAGGTGTACCCTGGGATAAAAATCGGCAGGAATAGAAAAAAAAAATTAAAGTTTTCTGTTATCTTTCAATAAAAGGATTGAATTAAATAAAAGAGTTAAGATTAAGTAAGAGAATTAAGATTAAATAAAACAAATTTAGGTTAACTAAACGTTTTAAGAATAAAGAAAAGGATTAAAATTTTATAAAGATTAAGATTAAGTTTTAAGATTAAATAAAAGGATTAAAATTAAATCTACCGATTAGGTTTAAATCTAGAGATTAAGATTAAAAGGTTTTAGAGTACATTAAAATTTTAAGATTAAATAAAGGGTTTAAGTTTAAATAAAGGGATTAAAATTAAATTTCAAGATTGAATAAAAGGATTTAAATTAAATGATTAAGATTAAATAAAAGGTTTCAGATTAAATAAAGTGATTAAAATTAAATAAAAATTTCAAGACTGAATGAAAGGATTAAGATTACAAGAATTAAGATTAAATAAATGGTGTAAGATTAAAAAATTATTAATATTAAATTTTAAAAAATGAGATTAAGATTAAATAAAAGAATCCATTTTAAATAAAAAGAAAAGATTAAAATGTTTCAGATTAAAGATAAGTATGAAGATTAAATAAAGAGTTCAAAATTAAAAGGTTTAAGGTTAAAAATTTTGAGAATAAATAAAATGATTACGATTAAATTGTTTAAGATTAATTAAAAGAATTTAGATTAAATAAAATGTTTAACTTTTATTGTATTTTTCCAACTTTTGCTTAAGGTGTTGAGTATTGTGCCCGAACTTGTGAATAAACTGTCCAAAGTTCATATTTTGATATTTTTGTTCAAGTACTTTCGACATTCGTAGTCATTTTCAAGAACTGAATCTGTATCAGTGTGGTATTTATACTTCCTTTGTCTACATGCTGGTTTTCTTTGGGAAGCTGGACATTTGAAATGCTCTATCGTGATGTCATGTGTAACAGCTATTGGGATTGTCGGTACTTTTTAATCAAACTTCTTTGGATGAATACTTGCTGTCTTTGGATGAATACTTGATGAATACTCACTGTTCACTCATATATATATATATATATATATATATATATATATATGTGTGTGTGTGTGTGTGTGTGTGTGTGTGTGTGTGTGTGTGTGTGTGTGTATGAGTGGACAATGAGATCAACACCGAGAGGCAGCAGTCTGTTTCTTGCTTGAGCGCAATCTTCAGGCCATCAGAATGCAAAAGTCATTTGAATACATACTCGAGATTTGAAATTTGATCATCTTGCCGTCAGACAAATTTCAGATACGTAAATCTTTCAGAAAAATGAATTTCACAAGTACAGTACCTGTTATCACTCTTTCCATTAATGCTTTGATGAGTAAAAACTTTCTGTAATAAAAACAAAAACTTGTTCCCTATCTCCATCACCATCGATTCTGTGTCTTTGTTCACCGTCAATAAACATTGTTTTCTATTTTTGTGTGCAGCCAAATGTTTTTTAATCATTTCACAAGTAAGGCAGTAAAGCCACTAAGACATAACGTGTCACTGACTTTGAAAGAATATAAGAAAAAGAAAAACTTTATTAAGGGGCAACAAGAATAAAAAAAATAGGAATTAAGAAGACAGGAGACAACAATTGATATTGGATTTTAATTTTTTTAAGATCAAAGTTGGCTGAAATGCAAGAAGCTGGAAGCGAGTTCCACAAGCGAGAAGAAACTGTTAGGGTAAAACTTATGGTTACATCTAGTTATTTCAAATATAGATGAATAGGACCTAGCTTCTAATCTGGTACTCCCTTTAATTTTAACTAAGATTTATTTTCATCTTGATATTTTAGTTGCTATTTTATAAAAGCATTATCAATCATTATTATTCATTTTTGGCGAGTATTTAATTTCCTATACATTTCCATTGTAACATTGACAACCCTTGTCATAGGTTTTGACAAGTATTTCTTTTCATTTAAATCTTATTTTATCAGAGGAAGCATTATTCTTATTAATGTTTGACTATTATTTACTTTCATCTTAATTTCTTATTAGAGAAACATTGCCAAACATTATTATTAATTTTAGACACGTATTTGCTTTCTTTTCATTTTCATTGAAGTATTTGCGACTATAATTACTTATTTTTGCTAATATTTATCTCCCCTTAACGTTTTGTTAGATAAAAACTCGTCAAACCATTTAATGTTCGATATTCGTGTGTTCATCATAATATTTTAATTACTTTCTTCATCGCAACTTTATTGATCTTCTCTAGTTGC